TCTCAGATCCATACAAGCATGTTGTCTAAACCACTAACCTAATGGTCCACTGCTTTCTGATAATCACAGGGCCAGCATAGTTCACTGCCTCTTCAATAAGGTCCATTACAATGTCCACAGAGGCCTGTTTCCCAAGAGTTCCAATATGGAGCACAGTCCCACTTCTGTGAACCCCTCCCCAAGTTGCCTTTGATGCCTTCATGTAGACCAAACTCTCTCATCAATCTTTTGAGTCTTCTTACTGAGACACCTGCTGATCTTACTGAACCTACAGCCTTGAGTGTGCAAGGCAAGCAGTCTTCCACAAAAGCTACACCTTCATCTCTGGAAACTATGTTTTTAAAAAGATTTCGCACTACATTAACAGCCTGCTAGTGTGACTCACGCTCAGCTACTGTGCTGCTGATTCCTGCCTGGAAGACACTGCAAATCCACACAGTATATATATATATATCTTCCTTATTTTTATTATATGTGTATGAGTGTATTGACTGCATGTATGTAAGTGCACTCACGCCATACAATACCCAAGGAGGTCAGAAGAGGATGTTGGATCCCCTGGAACTGGAGTTACAGATGGTTGTTAACTGCCATGTGGGTGCTGGGAATCAAACCCAGATCCTCTGCAAGAGCAGCCAGTGCTCTTAACCCTGATCCATCTCTCCAGCCCCCACACCTTATATTCACATAGATACTGAAAATCCTAGCTTCCGCTGCTGTCTCCATATATCCTGTTTCTCACCCACACCTAATTCTTTTACTAATTTCTTATGAATTAATTTTTAAATAAAAATCCTAGTAAGTACTGTATTCTTCTAGTCCCTTTTTCTCTTATAAATTACTAATTACTTTTCCCTTCAACACTATGTTCTGGAGCTCCCTATCAGCTGAGAGAGAGTTTTCTCATTCTGACTTTTAAAAACCATGGTAAAAGTACATGTAACTTAAAGCTTACCATATGTGTCAATCACATTTCTCATTGCTGTGACAAAATATCCAACAAAATGGATGTGAGGAAGGAAGGTATTTGGCTTACAGTTTGAGAGGACAGTCCGTCATGGCAGGGAAGGCATGGTGGCAGATGTGAGGCATCCACAGTCAGGATGCAGAGGGACGAATGCTGGTGCTCAGCTCACTTTCTCCCATGGGCCCAGGACCACAGCCCATGGCATGGTGCCACCCACATTCAGGGTGGGTCTTCCCTCCTCAGTTCAGCCTTTCTGAAAACACCTTTATAGACAACACCAGAGGTGCATATTCATGGTGACTGTAAATAGGGTCAAGGTGACAGTGGAGATTAACCCACACTATCTACTGTGCAGTGATGGCTGCTGCTCAATACACTCCTCCCCACAACGTCATTGTTTTTTTTTTTTGGTCTTTTTGAGACAGGGTCTCCCTGTAGCCCCAGCTGGCTTGGAACTCTATGTAGACCAGGCTGGCCTTGAACTCACAGAGATCTGCCTGCCTCTGCCTCCTGAATGCTGTAACTAAAGGTGTGTGCCATCATGCCCAGCTTAAAGATGAAACTCCTCACCCATTATTTTAAAATATACTTTACATACAGTAAAATTAACTCTTTTTGAGTGTGGAGTTCTGTTAAGTCTAGAAGATAGACACCACCATGTACCATGTAAGGGCTGCCATGACCAGGACACAGGCTATGCCCACCACTCCATCTCCTCACTGCCTTTGAATTGCCCCCCTTTCCTTGTGACTACAAATATCTTCTTTGTTTATTATGGAATGTCAGAGGAATAGAGCCATGAATTATTTTATTTCTGTGTATGTATGTGTTCATAATGGTGTGTGTGTGCATGCATGTGGAGGCCAGAAGCCAAGGTTGGGTGTCTTTCTCTATTGTGCTCTACCTCATTTTTATTTTTTACATTTAATTAAGTAATAAGTTAGTTAATTGATTTTTTAATTGATATGTGTGTAGGTATGGGTATGGGTGTGCATGTGCACATGTGAAGGTCAGAGGACAACTTGTAGGAATCTCTTCTCTCCTTCCACCATGTGGGTTCTGGGGATCAAACATCAGGCTTAGTGGCACATGCCTTTACAACTGAGCCATCTTACCAGCTTTCTACATTAATTTTGGAGACAAAGTCTCTCTCTAGATTGTGGATTTGGCTAGGCTGGCTGGCCAGGGAGTCCCAGCGATCCTCCTGTCTCTACACTCCCTCTCCCTTCCCACTGCTGAGCTTATAGGTGCATGCTGCCATATCTGGGTTTGTACATGGGTGCTGAAGATTCAAACTCAGGCTCTCATGCTTGCGTGGCAAGAGCTTCATTGACTAAGCCATTTCCTCGCTCCACATTCTTCTTAAAAAAATTATTTATGGGGCTACAGAGATGGCTCAGTGGTTAAGAACACTGGCTGTTCTTGCAGAAGAACTGGGTTCGAATCCCAGCACTCACATGGCAGCTAACAACTGTCCGTAACTCCAGTTCCAGGAGATCTGACAGATCTGACAGCCTCTTCTGTCCTCTGCGGGCATTGCACGAAACGGGTGCACTAATCTACATGCAGGCCATACACACATACACATAAAAATAATAAATAAAATATTTTTAATTATTATTTTTATTTTTTCTGTATGAGTGTATGGCCTGCATATATGTAAGTGTGCCCATGTTATGCAATGCCTCGGAGGTCAGAAGAGGGTGTTTGGAACTGGAGTTAGTGACCGTGACGGTGCTGAGAATCAAACCCAGGTCCTCAGCAAAAGCAGCCAGTGTTCTTTAACTGCTGAGCCATCTCTCCAGCAGTCCCTACACATGTTCTTTCTGAAGAACATTCACATTGCATACTGCAAATGTACCCATGCTTATTGAACTTGTTTCCTGTAGAGGGACATTTAGGCTATTTCTAGGCTCTTCTGTTAACCCCAGTTTTCTAGTATCTGTAGATAAGCCATTTGGATTGATCCAACTCTCTTTGAAACAAGGTCTTGCCATGTAACCTTGACTGGTCTGAAACTCACTGTGTAGACCAGCCTGGCTTTAGACTAATGAGCATAAATCCCGCATTGTGCCTCCTGAACATTCCCATGCCCAGCCCAAGTGTTGTCTCTCTGTCGTTTTCTTTCTATGAAATTTCTTAAGATATTTATCAAAGGTATCTGAAGACTTATAAATCCCTTTGATGCACTGTCACCTACATCTTATTTTTGTGGTGGTACATATAGTCCCTGCCTAGTTCAGTTTTCAGAAATCACTTTGTTATCAACACTCTTTGATCAGAAATTTAGAAAGGCTTTTAAAGGTGTTTTATACCATTTCAAAAGCAGCAGCTTTTCCTAAGAATTCTCACAATTAATTTCTGGGAGGATAGCTTAGCTAGTACACCACTTGCCTTGCAAACTCAAAGACCTAAGTTTGATACCCAGAACCCACATAAAAATTCCAAGTGTGGTGGCTTGTGCAGGTAGGTGGGTCCCTGGATCTTTGCTGACCAGGAAGCCTAGTCTACTTGGGTTCTAGATCCCAGTCTCAAAAACTTGGGTTGAGATCCTGTCTCAAAAACTAAAAATGGTGGACAGCCTTGAAGAATAACACTTAAAATTGTCCAGAGGGCATGTGTGCAGATGTGCAGAGTGCACACCACACACACACACACACACACACACACACACACACACACACACACACACATTTTAACCCTCCCCAAGCCTCTAAGGCCATGATTCCAAACTTGGGAGTCATCAAGAGTACCTACCTGGCAGTGGCCCTGTGGGCTCAGTCATGTGCCTGAGTCTGGTCTCGGGTGGAGCTGGAGGCTCTGCAGTTTTGAGGATCTCAGGTGCTGCTGCAGGTCTGCAGCTCCACTTTGAGGAGCACTGCACATCCAAGCAGCAGTCAATAGCACAAAATGGAAACCACCAGTTAGAAGATCAATGTCCTAGAGTTCTGTTACTAAAGAATTTAGTTAAGGGTATTGTTTATTTCTATCTGTCTTGTTTTGTTTTGGTTTGGTTTGGTTTGGTTGAGGCAGGTCTCATGTAGCTCAGGCTGGCTTTGAACCCCTATGTTGTTGAGGATGACCTTGAATTCCTGCTCCTCCTGCATGCACTGTATTAAGTATTCTTACCAGTGCAGGCAGACCCTTACTCACCATGACATTATGAAAGAGTTTTCAATTTGACCATCAGATGTTTCATTTTTAGTTTATTATCAATAAATCACAAAATAAGGGACTGGAGATGGCACCCAGCTACTTAGCACAAGCAAGGGTCTGGGTTCAGTTCCCACAGCATCTCCCTCCCTCCCAATAACAACAACAATAACAACAGCAAAAACAAAATTAAAAAAAAAATTTCTCTTGGCATGGTAGCATAAAGGCCTCTAATCTCAGACCTTGCGAGGCTGAGATGGGAGGATTTTCAGTTTGAGTCCACCCTGCAATATGTAAACAGACTCTGTCTCAAAAAACCAAAATAGAATTAAAAATCACATGAGATATTCAGCACTTTTATTGTAAGACAGGCTTCTTTTTTTAAAAAAATGATCCTTTTTATTTTGTGTGTATGAGTGTCTTGCCTGTATGCGTATAAGTGCACCGTGTGTGCAATGCCCATAGAGGCCAGAAGAGGGTGTCAGATCCCCTGGAACTGGAGTTACAGATAGTTGTTAGCCCCATGTGGGTGCTGGGAATCAAACCTGGGTCCTCTGGAAGAACAGCAAGCGCCCTTAACCGCTGAGCCATCTCTCTAGCCCCAAGACAGGCTTCTTGTTAAGTGGTTTTGCCCAACTATGGACGAATGTAAACTGCCTGAGCAGGTTTGAAGTTGGCTAAATTAAGTTGTGTCATTCTACAGGTTACTGTGTTAACGGTGTTTCCAACTTACAATGAGTTACCGAAGTCAGGTACTATCTGTGGGTGTGTTTCTATGTGTTAAGAATTCCCCTGACAGGACACAGATGCACGTGTGTGTATACACTGTATATCAGAATATCTTAGGATTGTTTCTCTCTTGTTTTATGACTTTTCTAAGGCCTATCTGGACAAGTAGTACTTCCACACAAACCTCATGCGACCTCTCCAGATTGTTCCAAGCCGATTCCAGCTCTGTTGTGGACTGAGGCCTCCAGCCTCTCCTCAAAGCAAGATCTGCCTTACGATGGCTCGTCCAAGTTCAAGTAAGTCTTTCTTTAAAGAAAATTGTTTTAAATTGTGGTGTGTGTGTGTGTGTGTGTGTGTGTGTGTGTGCATGGGTGTGTGAGCACATGTGTGTGCTTGTGCACACGGGCCATGGAGAATGTGTAGAAATTAGAGGACAGCTTTCAGGAGTTGGTTCTCTCTTTCCACCATGTGGGCCTAGGGTTGGAACTTCGATCCTTATCAGGCCTGGCGGCAAGTACCTTCACCAGCTGAGTTGTCTGCAGGCTCTTAAGTAAGTCATTCTTATGCATGTGAACTCACCAAGTATCCCTTTACCTTCGAAGGAAAGCTAGCCTGTCCTCTTTTCTCATGTAGCCCTGCTTGGCCTCCTGTATAGCTGAGGCTGGACTTGAACTCCTCATCCTCCTGCCTCTGCCTCCCAAATGCTGGGATTACAGACATGCCATATCTCTCTTAGGTACTCCTTTCCAGGCAAAACTTCTCTCCTAATCCTCAAGACCGTGTAGGACATTTTGCTTTTCCAAGAATATTTTAGTTTAAGCTTTCCATATGTACTTTGTATTTTGTTTTGTTTGCATTGCTGGGGATGGAACCCAGGGCCTTACGCACACCAGGCAAGCACTCTTCCACTGAGCTACTCCTCCAACCCAGGAAAATGTGTTTTTTAAATGATTCATACTACATTAACATTAATGTATTTTGTATCCTGTTTCTCAAGAACTCAACTTTGGTTGACATTTTGTTTGTAGAAGTCGCTTTAACATGATATGTTGATCGAAGTCACTCTGACAGAGTCATTCTTCAGGAGATGATAGAGTTTCTCTTTGGGGTAGAAAAGTCCCCAGAGGGCTGGAGCTGGGGATAGTTTTAGGAGTGAACTGTGAAGTTCTTTGTGACATTTGTAGGTTATTAGACCAAGGATTCACCCAACACAGTACTGAGGCCAAAAGCAATTAGGGCAACATTGCATACAACTGGCTGGGAAGAGTGACTAGATACTCAGGTGAGGGGCCAATGTCCCTGTCTGCCTGTGGGGTTTTGAGAGTGAGGAAATCCCTACCAATCTAGAGGAAGTCATCCAGGTATAAGAAACTGTTGTGTAAACTGGGTATGGTGGCACATACCTTTAATCCCAGCACTTGGGAGGCAGAGGCAGGCGGATCTCTGTGTGTTCAAGGCCAGCCTGGTCTACGTAGCGAGTTCCAGGCTAGCTCAGTGAGAGCTACAGAGAGACCCTGCCTCTAAAATACCCCCCCTCAAAAAACAAACAACAAAAAACAAACAAAAAAAACTCTTGTGTGAGTTTTCCTAGAGAGAAGAACAAACAGTTATTCACCCCAGAGAGCACCAATAACAGACCAAAGAAATGATTCTTCTCAGGTTGAGCTTGGTGAACCCATGAGTTTGTTGCGGTTACTTACAGAAACATGGGTGACTCAAAGACAGCTGCATCACCAAAAGGCCCACGCTAGCATGGTGACGAATCTCAAAAACACGACTTTCTGGAAGCTCCTCGGAGTCTCCTCTCCCACAGCTTCTGTTTACTGTCCATAGCTTTACCCAGGGGCCTTGAGAGTCTTGTCACTTTCATGAGCTTCCTGGACCTTATAAGTTTCACTGGCTTTCAGGTCTTCAATTCTGAGAAAATTGCTACACAGCAGAAACCAACAAAATCTCCCTTACCAGCAGATCTCCCTACCAGCCAGGGATGTGAAGGCGCCCCCATTCCTCCTGTTAGCATCTCCAAGCTGCCATCCCTACAGTCTTCCTCATTTCTACCTCACCTGTCATGCAAGCCTGACTCCTTTGCTTGTCCTGGGAAAAGGACAGCTTTTCAGGGTCCAGTGCTCGGGGTGCAGGGTCCTCACTAACCAGACAGAAGAGCTACCTGGAGGGCCAGGGCAAGAAGAGAAGCCATGTTCTGGGTTCATCCCCCTCCTGCTGACATCTTGTGAAGAAGTTCAGCTCTTACTTGGCCTATCAAGGCTGGGTTACATGTCTGTGTTTGGATCAGAGGTTTGTTCACATGATGGAGCTCTATTCTCACCCTTGGTTCTGAATTGAGGGAGTCAGCTCAGCCCTGCTGCAACATTAAGCTTATTTTGACTTTTCCAAAGAAAGCTGAATTCTATCCATCAGGCTTTTAAAATCGACAAAGCAGTCCTGCTCCATGAGAGATAGTATACACACCCAACTGCCAGGAAACTGGGTATACAGAAAATAAGTACTTTTGGGTTTTTTTTTTTTTTTTGAGATAAGAATTCACTGTATAACCCTGGCTGGCCTGGAACTCGCTATGTAGACCAGACTGGCTTTGAACTCACAGAGATCCACCTGCCTCTGCCTCCCAAGTGCTGGAATTAAAGGCATATACCATCATGCCTGACTGAAAGTAATTGTGGTGATTTGAATGAAAATGTCCCCCATAGGCTCCAAGTAGTTGGACATTTGTCCCCAGTTGGTGGCACTGTTTTGGGAGGTCTTAGAAGGTGTGGCTATCCTGGAGGAAGCACGTCATAGGGAGCGGGCCTAGAGAGTTCTTAAGCTTTGCTTTCTTGCTTCCTGTTCCTGCTTAAAGATGGGAGCTCTTGGCTTCTTCCTCCAGCCACCTCTGCTGCCATGCCTCCCTGCCATGATGAACTCTAGCCCCTTAGAAACTTAAGCTCAAATAAATTCTTCCTTCTATAACTTGCATGGTCAGTGTTTCTATCACAGTAACAGAAAAGTAACTAATGCAGTAATTGGTACTGGGTGTGGGGTGTTCGCTGCAAAGAACCTGACCATGTGGAGTTTTGGAGGAATGTGGCTATAAGTTGTTTTGATCGGTGTTTCTATTATAGCAACAGAAAAGTAGCCAATACAGTAATTTCATTAGATCACACAGTTGGATAGGAGGCAGAGCTGAGATTCTATGCCAGGCATGTTCCCAAAGCCCCTGCTTCCTTGAAATGCCATGCACCCACCCACCAAGTGTACAAACTGGTGTCTTTATGGTACAGGAATGATTTTTTAACAACTTGCATCTGTTTGTTTATTTTGTGTGTGTGCGTGGGGGTGGGTATGCATGCCTTACTGAACATGTGGAGGTCAGAGAACAGTTTGTGCCAGTCAGTCCTCTCTTCTGTTTAAGTTCTGGGAATTGAACTCATGTCTACAGTCTTGGCAAGCACCTTACCCTCTGAGGCATCTTGCCAGCCCTGAGGAGTCATTTTTATTTATTTATCTTTAAAGATTTACTTTACTTTTAATTATGTGTACATGCATGTGTGTCTTTGTGGGGGTATATGCACATAAATACAGGTGCTGAGGAGGCCAGAAAAAGGCGTTGGATCCCGTAGAGCTGGAGTTACAGGTGGTTATGAGCCACTTGATATGGGCTCTGGGAACCGAACCCCAGTCCTCTGCAAAAGCAGTATGTGCTGTTAACCACTAAAACATCTCTGAAACCCAAGGAATGTTTTTATTAGAATAACTATACATTATAATTTCATTCAAGGTCAAATTTCAAACTATAGACAACTGATGTGGGATAGAAACATCCAAGGGTGTACTGGATTGACACAGATCTTATTTTCTGTTTAGATATGGCAGATTTTCGCAAGTGTTTTGCAAATGCAAAGCACATAGCCATCATCTCAGGGGCTGGTGTAAGTGCTGAGAGTGGGGTTCCAACTTTCAGAGGAGCTGGAGGTTATTGGAGAAAATGGCAAGCTCAGGTTAGTAATGATTCTAGAATACTTAAAGGATTTTCTGAATGGAGCTATAACAGAGTTTGACTCAGAATCCATCCCGATGCTTGAAACAAGGGGAAATGCTTTGAAATTGGCAGTGATCATTTTGTCCTCTTGGTTTGGGTGCCATCACAGTGTCTGTGCTGCTAAGGTAGCAAATTTGGGGCCGTGGAGATGGGTTCAGCTGGTAAGAGTGCTTGCTTTGCAAGCGTGAGGACCTAAGTTTGAATCCCAGCATCCATAGTTGTGTATGCCTGTAACCGCAGCATTGGGAGGTAGAGACGGGATCCTGGGGGTACGTGCACAGGGGTGCAGGAGGATGCTTGCTGGCCAGCCATGTGCTTCCAGTTCAGTGAGAGACTGTCTCAAGGGCGTAAGGCAGAGAGTGACGGGAATACCCCCAATGTCCTCCTCTGGTTTCTGCATTCACATGGACAGACGTGCACACCTGAACATTCATGTGTATGTACCACACATACACACCATGATACACTACACACACACACACACACACACACACACACACACACACACCCTCCACCACACTACACACATATAAAATGGCAGTTTGTGGGGCAGAAGGACAACATTGGGAATCAAACTCCGCTGAGGCACATTCTCAGCCCAAGATCACAAATTTGAGTAAGCAGTCACTTTCTTTATCTTCTAGGAATTTCATTAAAGTAGAATCATCAAACCTTGGTTAGCACAATTCATTATCTTTAAAAAGGTAATTGGAATAAAGTATTACACATTGTAGATGTTTCTATGAAGTGCTATTAAAATTGAAGTTGAACCAGGCATGGGGCACACACTTTCAATCCCAGCACTTGGGAAGCAGAGGCAGGTGGATATCTGTGGATTGACACTAGCCTGATCTACATAGTGAGTTCCAGGACAGCAGTAGTTACAGGGAGACCCTGTTAAAGAGACCAAAACAAAGCTGAATAGTTGTTGAAGGATTGGGCTTGATATTCAAACAATTATATGAAAGTCATTAGAATATAAGTTCTGTAGGGTATATGGATCTTTTTCTTTTAAGATTTATTTACTTAAAATTTTGGGTTTTTTTTTTTTTTCAGTTTTATTTTACATGTGTGAGTATTTTGCCTGCATGTATTTATGTACACCACATGTTTGTACTACCCTCAGAGGCCAGAAGAGAGCATCAGATCCCCTGGAGCTGGAGTTACAGGCCATTGTTAGGCTCCATTTTCTCTGCAGAAATAGCAAGTGGTCTTATGTGCTGAGCCATCTCTCTAGCCACCTTAAGATTTATTTTTACTTTTTTTTTTTTTTGTCTTTTTTTGAGACAGGGTCTCCCAGTAGCCCCAGAGCATGCCTTTAATCCCAGCACTCGGGAGGCAGAGGCAGAAG